CAAATGGGCCATCATGACAAAACATGGGGCAACAAATGGGCCATCATGACAAAACATGGGGCAACAAATGGGCCATCATGTAAATACACTGGGCAACAAATGGGCCATCATGACAATACATGGGACAACAAATGGGCAATCTTGATAATACATATGGACAGTCTTGACAATACCTGGGGCAACAAATGGGCCATCATGATAATACATGGGACAACAAGTGGGCCATCATGATAATACATGGGACAACAAGTGGGCCATCATGATAATACATGGGGCAACAAATGGGCCATCATGACAATACATGGGACAACAAATGGGCAATCTTGATAATACATATGGACAGTCTTGACAATACCTGGGGCAACAAATGGGCCATCATGATAATACATGGGACAACAAGTGGGCCATCATGATAATACACGGGGCAACAAATGGGCCATCATGATAAAACATGGGGCAACAAATGGGCCATCATGATAATACACAGGGCAACAAATGGGCCATCATTACAATAAATGGGGCAACAATGATAATACATGGGGCAACGAAAGGGTAATCTTGATAATACATATGGACAGTCATGACAATACATTGTACAACAAATAGGCCCTTTTTATAGGTTGCTCTGGGCATTGCCCTTTTCATGGTCTGCACAATGTATATATTTTTTTAAATAAAGTTAATATATATTTTTTACTTTCGTTTTACAAGATTCTATTTCAATTCAAACTCAGCTTTATTATTTTGAACAAATGACCAGAATTCGTAGACGATTGGTGATGTGCGGAGAAGAATGGTCTGGAACTTTTGGACTCTTCCTCCAACGCTCTGAACCTTTCAGACTCTTCCACCAATGGTCTGGCACTTTCACACTCTTCCACCAATGGTCTGGCACTTTCGCACTCTTCCACCAATGGTCTGGCACTTTCGCACTCTTCCACCTATGGTCTGGCACTTTTGGACTCTTCCACCAATGGTCTGGCACTTTCGCACTCTTTTTCCAATGGCCTGACACTTCTGGACTCTTCGCCAACGGTCTTCCACTTTTGGACTCTTCCTCAAATGGTCTTCCACTTTCAGACTCTTTTTCCAATGGTCTGGAACTTTTGGACTCTTCCTCCAACGCTCTGAACCTTTCAGACTCTTCCATCAATGGTCTGACACATTTGGCACCCATTCACTGGTATAGGTCCCACAACAATGCCAGTCCATGCCGGACTACCAGCATTGTGTAATAACTAAAATCCCTGCCAATCACGTACAAGCTTAATCAGAAAACAGCACCAGGAGCAAAACGCCCGGTGCAAGTGTGGTAACCCATAGCAACCAATGATATGTTACATCACGCCGGACCAGTAAAGGGTGGATTCTGATTCCTGACTTTGGCCAAAGCTTTATTCCATGCACTGCTTTGCTATACAAGCTAAGAATGGACTTGCTCCAACAGAGGCCATTTACTGCCAGGTCCTCAGCCCGCGGCAACGACTCCAAGAACCAACCTTCCTCTACCCTCTAAGTCCACTTCACCATTGTAGGTCCAACCCTGGCCACGTGTTCAACAATGCCAGAAACCGTCATCCCTTTGATGAATAGCCATGAAACTGCATGGTTGATGGGCGTCCCACTGGTTGTCCCCGGACATTGTTGTCTCTGGAGATGTTCTTTGTTTTTGGCCCCCATGTGAATGTCCACCGGTGAGATCTTAGTTCCCCCTGAATGACCACCGGTGAGATCTTAGTTCCCCCTGAATGTCCACTGGTGAGATCTTCACCTGGTTCTGTCGGCTCTTCAAAAACCACCTTACAAACCTCATCAGAGCTATTCTTCTGTTTGTATTCGCAAGTTTCTGCGGTCAAGGCTCTCTCTATTGGGAACCCTTTCATGTCCTATACAAGGACAAGGTTGTCTCAAAGCCTAGGGCCACTTTTCTACCTAATGTGGTTTCATCTAGTCAACTCAACCCATCCATCTCTTTGTCCTGCTCCAGTACATGCTCTGGAGGTTTCATCCCATCGTTTGGATGCTGTACGAGGTGTTCGGGTTTATCTCTCGGCCACATGTTCCTTCAGCCTGACTCCCTCAACTTCATTCCTGAGGGTCCCCCTAAGTGACAGACTGCTTCTTGTTCCACCATCTCCAAGTGGGTCAAGCAGCTCCTCATTCAGGCTTAGACTAAAGGATCAGGTTCCTCTCTACTAGACCAGTGCGTGCCCCTTGGAATTTTTCTCAAATTTGGTGGACTGCCGCCTGGTCTTCTGTTCTCCATGTTTTACCAGGTGGAGGTTCAGGCCTCATCTGAAACCAAATTCGAATGTAAGGTCCTTCAGGTGATTCTTTAGGTTGCAATCGTACCCAAGTTTTCTCCCCTGGTTTTGTTGGCTTCTTAGCACTTTGTTTGCTGTGTTGCCGGCCCCTCAGTTAGATTGGCTTTGGGGATCCCATAAGTCTCAGGATCCTTCAGACCCTGTGTGCCTTTAATGAATGGTTTGCGATTTTTTTACCTACCCTAAAATACTTTTCTTGGAGTTCATTGAGGGAAAGTTCTCCATCCGGTCCTCCTCTGCTGATTGACAGCAGGCAGTGGGCATGTGCAGGCTGGCTATTGCACCTGCCCACTGCCTGCTGTCAATTAACAGAGGAGGGAACTGAAGGAGAAAGTTCTCCATCGGGTCGTCCTCTGCTGATTGACAGCAGGGAGTGGGCGGGTGCAATAACCAGCCTGCTATTGGTTATGTCATTTTAAAATATCCAATAGCAGGCTGGCTGTTGTTTCGAGCCGCTGATTGGAGACTTGACGCCGGTGCTAGAACACCGGCAGAAGAGGAGGAGGAACAGGGCAGCACAGCAGAAAACGGGGCGGTCAGAGGAGGAGGAATGTGGCAGGCCGGAGGAGGAGGAGGAACGGGGCGGTTAGAGAAAGAGGAACGGGGTTGTCAGAGGAGGCGAAATGAGGTAGCCAGAGGAGGAGGAATGGGGCTGGCAGAGGAGGAACGGGGCTGGCAGAAGAGGAACGGGGCTGGCAGAGGAGGAACGGGGCTGGCAGAGGAGGAGGTGGAACGGGGCGGCCAGAGGAGGAGGAATGGGCTGCCCAGAGGAAGAGGAACGGGGCTGCCCAGAAGAGGAGGAACGGAGAGGCCAGAGAAGCAAGAACGGGGCGGCCAGAGGAGGAGGAACGGAGAGGCCAGAGAAGCAAGAAAGGGGCGGCCAGAGGAGGAGGAGAAGGAACAGGGCGGCCGGAGGAGGAGGAACGGGGCAGGCCGGAGGAGGAACAGGGCGGTTAGAGGAAGAGAAACGGGGCTGCCCAGAGGACGGCCAGAGGAGGAGGAACAAGGCAGCAACGCAGGTACAAGGGTGGGGAATGTAGTCACGGCAGTAACAGTCTCCCCGCCGGTGCCGACTGCAGTGGTCTGTGTCCCCGCCGCCTCTGCCGACACAGACGGGGAGAGCAGCAGGGATTGAAAGGGACCTCTGCAGGGAGCAAAGCGGCAGCGCTGCAAATAATAATGAGAATCGTTGACATTCATTCTTGCTTTTGTTTTATTTCGTTGATGAAAAGTGAGTATCGCGTGAAAATAATTTTCGTCTTTTTTCGTTTCGTTTTTGTCACTGAAAAACGGCCAATAAACGACGACATTAACACTGGACTGCAGCCCATCGTTGCTCTTTTCATGGTCCAGCCAATGTGTGATTCTTAATGAGCGGTATGGTTGTTACACCGTTTATAAAAGATTTTATACAAAATCAGACTCAAAGTTTTATTGTCTCCTGATTTTCTTAAATAAACGTGAACGTTCTCCACACTTTACGGTATTCTGAGTCCTTTTTTTTAACAAACGCATGGACGGGTGTCAGCCGGGACTGCGGAGCAAGAGGTATGGGGCGGGTAGAGTGAAGCGGCAAAGATGGGGACTATAATGATGATGCAACATGTGGATCTGCATCAGGTGGAACTGTTGATGTACATCGGTGAGGACTGTGGATATACATCGGTGAGGACTGTGGATGTACATCGGTGAGGACTGTGGATGTACATCGGTGAGGACTGTGGATGTACATCGGTGAGGACTGTGGATGTACATCGGTGAGGACTGTGGATGTACATCGGTGAGGACTGTGGATGTGCATCGGTGAGGAATGTGGATGTACATCGGTGAGGACTGTGGATATACATCAGAGGACTATGGCTAAATGCAGGGGCGTCCCGAGGCTGGGTGACACCCGGAGCGGTAACCGAGTGTCACCATGACGTCATCGCGCACGCGCGTCAGTATGCGGATACCTGCCGGCAGCCATCTTGGTGATGGACGCCGCCACAGAGAGGAGGGGACAGTCACCCGGCGGGATAAGGTATGCCGCCGGGTCCCCTCCTCTCTCCTGATCATGGACCGAACGCCCGACTTTTCAGAGGGGGGTGACACCAAAATGACT